ACCTGAAACCAACTAGCTCTTTGATATCAAGGAATTGTTTCTTTTAAGGTGTGATAATGGTATTGGGTTATATTTTTTAAAAAGAATCTTTATGTTTTCAAGACACATACCAAAATATTCACAAATAAAATGATGCATCTGTAATTTCTGTCACTATAATATGGGTTGGGGAAAGTGGATGGGAGTTAAGGATGGTGCAGGATTGACCTTGGGTTGATGGTTGTTGGAACTGGGTGTAGTGATATATGGAGTTAATTATAATGTCCTATTTACTGTTTGTGTGTTCAAAATTCTTCATAATAAAAAATAAAAATATGAAAAACTAAAATAAATAAACATAAATCTCTCTTTTAAAAAATCTTCCCAGAAAGAAAATACCAGCCCAGACAGTTTACAAGGGAGTTTTAAAAAAAACAAAGAGCAGATCATTTCAGTCTCAAAATAAATGCTTCCAAAGAACAGAAATGTAGGGAATACTCCCAATTCATTTTTTGAGATATTCTAGAATAACACTGATATAAAGTGTTAGTAAGGTTGTGGAGTAGGGGGAATTCTTAAACACTGCGAGTAGATACATTACTTAGAATGTCTCTTTGGAAAACAATTTGGCATTATCTTGCAAATGTGAACATTTCTATAACCTTTCCATGGATATTCTGCAAACAGAGAAAATCTTATGCATATTTATCAGGGAACATATACATGAATGTTCAGAGCAGCATCATTCATAATAGCAAAAAATTGGAAACAACCTAAATGTCCATCAACAGGAGAATAAGCAAATTGTTTTTATTCAAACCATGGAGTATCACTCAGCAGTGAAAATGAATCAACTATATCTACTAGGAAAATATGCATGAATCTTAAAAATGCTGATATGTGAGAAAAACCAAATCAATGAAGACCAAAAGTATACCCTTTCACAAAGCTCTAAAATCAGTCAAACTGTATATTATTTAGAAACAAATATCCCTAAATGGTATCCCTAAGCTAGATATACATATAACAGAATAATAAAAGATAAACATTCCCTACTTTGTTCTAAGCTTTTGTCTTTTATAGATAACTTTCTAATACACACACATACACATACGCACATAATGAGAACAGATAAACACAAATTTAAGTTAGGTCTTAAGGGATGGGACAGGTGAATGGGATCAGGAGAGGCACACAGATTTCAAGGTATTGGTATTGGGTTTTAGGCTGGGTGATGGTTACCTAGTGTTTGTTTTATTAAGCTTCATGTAGACATACACACTTTGTAAGAATATACACTAAACCCTGTACAGTGCTCTCCCCTTACGCAGTTTTGCTTTCTGGGG